AGACATGAGCAGTCCCAGTGATTGCTATGGGTAAGACACGTGAGTGAGCACTCAGCAACCTGAGCAAAGGTTACAAAATCTTGTGCATAACTTTTCTGCACTTAGGTTAACTAGTAGGAAACAGTATTATTTAATTTCCTTGCTGATGGTGTAAGCTAAAATACCTTAGCAACCTGAGAAGAAAGATACTGCAGAAGGGTAGTAGACTGCCAGTGTAAAGTTATTAGGCTCCCATCCTATGCTGTGATGTTCAGTAACCCCAGTAAAGCTCTCCCCAGAGCCCCAAACAGGAGATTTCTTCCCAGGTGTGAAATATTCTCAGTCAAAGTCCAATTCCTGACTCTGAGCTGTGCTCCTATCTGGCCTTCTGCAGAACTCCTCCCTCAGATCAAGCAACGTGACCATGTTTTTAGAGATTTAATCTTTAATTAATCTTCTTTGAAATACATTACTAACAAGCTTGACTGAAATTAATTCAGAACACATTTGTTTCCCACACAAATTGCCAGTTTCCCTGATAGGGGTTGGTTTGTTTGTTTGTTTCCTTTTGAAAGGAAAATAAAAATCCATTTTGTCTCTGCCCAGATGAGGAAAACAGGTCATGTTTAAAAAGATGTGGGCTAACATGTTCTTAACACCCCCACCCCCAAACAAACCAATGGTAAATGCTACTTAAAACAGGTTTAACATATCTAAGAGATTAGGATCAGTCTTTGTCTCTACCCTAGCTAGCTTTTATAAATGTGACCTCCTTTCCATGCCTAGACAGATGCTCTTTGTCTGTTGGGACCACTCAGCTGTAAAGCTATCCTGACAGCTACCTCGCTTCCCAGTCTCTCCCAAAGGGCCAAGACTCTTCCAAGTGGTTTCCTTCTACTGAAGACTATAATTAGCTGCTTCCCTCCTTTTCCTCTGTTTAAAATTGGCATTATACAGTCTATCTTCTGAAACCTCATCTCCCATCCTGTCCTGCTTTCAAACATATGTAAAAGGAAATGCTATGCTATGGGACTATAAGCACATTGTTTAACAAAGACAAAATGCCAAGTTTTATAGTAAAGAATCAACATTTTCTTCCTTTCCCATTAGGCTGTGACTTATCCTTCTGTTACCCAAAATACATATTAACTGCTTACTTCTGAACTATGACTTCCTCCCCATTTTACTAAGCATTATTATTACCCTGTTTATTTCAGTAGCCTGAATAGTAAGATTTCCTTTATTGCTCTAGTATGTTATTGTCCCCTATATCTAAGTAATTGCATATTAAGTTTTCCTGTCCATTTCTATCAGCGGAATAGCTTTTGAAAATGTAAATCCAGCAACAGTACTCACAGGTTCAAAGATTTCAACTCAAAATGTGTTTTGAAAGTGTGTTAGGGAAAATTTCTTGGCTTATAAGGAATTGGAAGCTGAGAAGTCTCTACAATCTTGTAAGCACAGATATTTTCTTACAAAAATATCATGCCAATGTCAGATATCATTGTTCATTTAGCAGAATTTAGTATCAGTATTTTTAAGCTTCTCAAAAAAAACCCAAACAAACCATTTTCTAAAAATTGGCTCTGCAAATTTATGAAACTCGTCTTAGTTAAAACAAATTATTCATCAGCTCTTCAGATTTTCCCTACTCAATTATGCAGGTCTCAAAGCTCAGTTCACCAAAGAAATTACTGAAAAGTTATTATAAGTTATTTCATGTGTTAGTTTATCCAAGTCAAGCTTTGTAATCAAAATGTGACAATTAGCATTCCTTTGTAACTTAATACAAATATATTACTTTGTAATTTAATACAAATTAATTCGCTTTTAATTTAATACTGATTTATTCCTTTGTAACAAATTACAAAGGAGGCTATCTTTACAAAATAATTTTCTAGCCTTTTGCATAGGCTTTGTCAAATAAGCTGTTATCTACTGAACTATATGTGTTCAAAAATAAATGTACAGCAGTTCAAACAGCAATTCTGAATTATTATGGATGCAAAGCTTCTAGAATGTATTTCTTTTTAGCTTTCTAGCCTAGGATATTTTGTAGGACACATGTTCACTTTGCCAATTAAAGTCTTGTGTCATTCTTGAGAAACCCTAAATCTGGTTGTTTGTTTCCACACTTTGTTCCTGTTGATTATATTCATCAGTTCATAAATCTGAAGTCCCTCATTTGCTGAACTGAGCATCTCCACTTGGTCCAAAAGGATTCTACATGTTTATACACACTAATTCCCAAGTTAGTTACCCTATCATACCTATAGAATAAGCACCCACTTAAGTTTTGTCTTTCGAACTACACAGAAGATTACATGCTAGACAAATCTCACTTACTTCCTCTCTACTGCTTGGCATAAAACCTGATGCCGGTTCATCTGCTAAGGTTTTTGCCCTGACATGGTCCGTCAAGCAAAGACTGGCCCAAATAGCCAGAGATACGGAAGCTGAATTTAAAGCACTTACAAGATGTTGAGATGCATAAGGAACACAGGAGTGAATAATCCATGACCACTGTAGCCTTAGATAACTCAGGAAAGGCTTTATGTGTCTGTCGGCTGCATTCACAGTGTTCTAGGCAGCAGGCTATAAAGCTGGGAGGAGTACAGAGAAGGGCAATAAAACAGTTGAGGACTTGGGGAAAAACTGCCATACAAAGAGAGTGAAATGGCTAGGACTGTCTTCCTGAGAAAATGAGGTGGTGGGTAGGTGGAAGAGCTGATGGAAGGATAGCCATCAGAGAATGTACATGGCAAAATAGAAGCTCCCACTATCATAATACCAAAACCAAAGTGGATACCTGATGAAATTCAGAGTCAGTAAAATAAAATGTAATCTGAAATTCTGCTTTCAAAGAATTTCAAGACAATTCACCTTCAAGAAGAGTTGGTTTTGCCCAGCAATAAAGAACAGCCACCTTCCGGGTGGAAGAAAGCCAGTGTTGCAGAATAAGCAATATGGCTTCCCAAATAAAAATAATCATGGAGGAAAATAAGGAGTAAATCTTTATTAATTAGTGTTATCTGGAGGAATTTCTGGTAGTAAGAATGTGGTTACTTGAACAGGCAAACATCTAAGACGTGGGTGGTTTCATATATACTCTTGCAAAACTTGGAGACTATTCAAGATTTTTATTCTATGCCTTGTCTAAACCTAAGCTTATTGCTGGGTTTTCGCAGCCAGGATCTCTGGTATTATAGGCTGGTAAACTCTCTCCACAACAGCATGGCTGCCTCAAACTGCCTATTGGGAATGGTCTCAGCAACATTATCATTCTCAAACTTTCCCCATGAATAGTTTAGGAGGGCACTAGTTAGCATGGGCCAAACCAGGGCCAGTGAAAAATCTGATGGTTTATCTGCATGAATGATTGCATTTAACTTACCAATACAGACAGTCAGAGAAGACTGTCAAACCTCTGGGATCTCTAGTCATAAAAAGAGTACTGTAGAGGCTTGGTTTTGCTTTGTTGGTGTTAGCACAGGTATATTCTGCATGAATTGATGTTTGGAGCAACAGCAGTGTGCCAGTTCCACAGATTTTGTGACTTTGTGTTATCCAGATGGAGAATTTGTAACTGTCCCTGGAAGCACTTATGCTGAAGCTATGGAGAACCCCATGAGCTGTTTTACCATACGGATTGCACAGTAAAATAAACGGTTCTCTTCCTGTTTGACCAGTAAGACAATGATTTGAATTAAACAGGAATACACTTACACTGTGACATCCTTTATCAGTGCAGACAACTTTCTACTTAAGTGAAAGAATGGCCAAATAGTGGTACAAGAATACAAAGGTGACATCAACATACAGAAAAGATATGTTCTGTATGTTGATGTCACTCACAGCAAAGAATAAGCCCTAGAGAGCAAAGTGCAGCAGCAGCAGCATCCCTGCCAGGCCCCAGCCCTCTGCTGATTCAGGTTGTCACTGAGCCAACAGAGACTTTAACTGCATAGTAATTCATCTACTGATACTTTAAAACAAGACTGTGCCCACTCTCCTTGCTTGATTGGCTTACTGAAAGCCCACAGCAGAATCTGCTGGTTTAACTTTTCCACAGGATGGTAACATTTGGATTATTTTGACATTGCGAAGGCTGGACTCTGCTAAGCAGGTAAGAAAAATAATAAATGCTATTAGGTTACTCTGAACTGTCTGTTGGGATCTGTGTCCCAGAATTCAACTGGTAGGAATAACAGCTATCAGGGTCAGTTATTTTGGAAAGACATTTGAAGTAAAAGCTGCTGGATGATGGGGATACCCAAACAAGGCATGTTGTCAGAGGAACACAGCTGAAAACAGCCTGAAATGTCCCTTCTCACATCCCCTGTAATTAAACATAATAGAAGTCAAGATTTCTCTTCACACAAAACACTCATAAGAAGAACTTTACAAATTATAAAAAGAGAAATGAGAGTAAATTACTCCAAAAGACAAAATCCAAGACTGTAACACAGCCAGAGGCATTTGACTAAGGATGGCAAGCCACCAGCGACTGCTGCAGGGGAAACCACTGCAGATTTGGCTGCAGAGATGTTTCCAGGCAGTCAGCTGGTGCGAAGGGAACAGGCATCTACATGGACAGGAGTGGTCCCTGCTGGATCAGATCAGGGTATTCTGATTGCTGAGTTAAAGGAGCAGTCCTCTTTGTTTACTGGAAACACATCTATCTATCACCTTGGGTATAGGATACACATGAATGGATTTGTCTGGGTCAGGGAACATCTCTTAACTCCAGATGAACAACCTTTTTGCAGAAGTTCCTCTCTACTTGTTCTTCCTCCTCTTTCAGATCACGCTACTGAGACGCTGGAGAGTTTAAGTCTATAAATCATCTGTCCTTGAGGAGAAGTTTACAATTATAACTGCTTTTGTGCAAGGAGGCTTCTGAGCAGCTGTAGCCTGAGAAAAAAAGAAACAAGCGGTTGTTGCCAGCTGGGGTCAAAGCCAAAGCTCAGCAGTGTTTGGTTGGGGACTGCTGGGGAGTGGTGAAGAGATCAGCAGTGAAAAAAATTGCCTTGAGGATGCAATCAAAGGTGGGTTTCTGTGTGTTGGGGAAAACAGCTTGGCAGGTTAGAAACCCACTGTAGGGACCAGGACCAGGGAAGGCCCTGATTTTTATCTGTGTTGCAATTGCCTCACTGACTTACTCGGGGTGGTCTGCGGTGCCAAGGGCTTGCTTCTCTGCAGAGACACTGTGGACCTGAAAAAGTGCTAGGAACTCTTCTCTTCAATTTGACTGTCATTAAATATTAAAGGGAAAAGAAACCTCTGGGTCTGATGTGGAATTAAAGCTTCAAACTTGCCCTGAGAGTCAAAGAAAGAGCCAGTTAAGAAGAATGACAGATGTGACAGCTATTGGAAAGGCAGGAAAAATGGTCAGTGTGGGTACAGTCCTGCACACAGAAGACTGTGATCATAATTAGGATAGCGAGGGACTGTCACTATATTGTGGTAAAGCTATGAAAGTATAGTACAGCCCCACCTCACATCCCAGCAACCACCTCCTCCTCCCCCACAGGGCGCCATGGGGTGGTCAGGATGGCTGGGAGAGCCTCACCTGTGAGGTGTGTGAAGGCAGCTGCCAGTGCAGAACTTAGAAACATTTCTGTTAGGATATCCAGAATTAAATTCGCATTCTGGAAAAATCAGTCAGGATGCTTGCAGGGAGAAAAAATCATGCACAGTAATGATCACATTTACAAATGACAACCCAATTACTGAAGTAATATTATGGGGAAAACTTCTCATACTACCTGGAAATTCAATTAACGAATAAATTCCTTCATCCTGAAGCCCCCAAAATGCCTTGATAAAAACACAGACAAAGAAATGTAGTGAAGTGATAAATTGAGAATTGGAAGGCGAGCAGGCAGGTAGAGAGCTTGCAGTCATAGTGCTCCAAAACATCTGTTTGAACCATGGGGGAAAAAAACGGTGGATGTTGCATGCTCATGGTGGACAACAAAGCTTGGAAACAGAAGATTCCCAAAACAAATTAGAAATATTAGCAGGTTTTGTGGCTCACTGCAGTGCTTAACAGGTTTTGTGGTGGCATTTTGGGTTTTTAAATGTCATATTAGAGTCAGGTTTCCTCTTCCACTTGTTATCATAATTTTAAAGGGGCATCCTTTCAAGTTAACTCTTCTGTGACATTTTCTGTAGCAGCAGTATTTTGTTCTTGTAAAATCCTTGGACTGTTGTAGCAGTGACAGGGAAATGCCAGCAACCTCATGATAAAGAACACCTTTTGGGTAAACACATTACCAGAGACAACCTGAATGATGTGATATGCTGAAAAAATGCACAGGTGAGGTTCAAGCAAATCAGAAGGTACTTTGGTACAGCAGATCCTTTTTTTGTCCTCAGCATTTGTTAGGTAAACTCACTGCAATGGACTCTAAATGTCAGCTGTTGTTGGATAGCATCATGCTTTTTTATTTCTTCAGTGGCTGTTGCTGATATCAAGAGCAGCTGTGTTCAGTCTTTTTTCTTAAAAAAAAAAAAAAAAAAAAAAAAAGAGTAGAGCTTAGCATCTGAAAAAAATTGGCCTTGTGTGGCTAACTACAAGCAGGGCACATGACTGAGTGCTGCATCTGCTCTGTCCCACTTCAGTTGAAACAGTTTGGACAAGAATATTCTGCCAATTTAAAGAGGAACTCTCAATTTACAGAATGCATTTAGAGCTCCTCATTGCAGCAAGCTTCAAATTTTACCCCCTACCAACAAAATAAGAAAATCTGTACTCTGGAAAAGGGAGCTGCAGAATTTACTCCTTTCTGTCTCCTCTCTCTAACCATAGTGTAAGGGTCAGATTTCCAGGAAATATTTGTAGATTTTTGGACATCTGCCTTTCCAGGGTAGCTAGAACTACCTCTAGGGCTGTTTCTGGTAATTTGAAGAAAGGAAGTGCCAGCTAGTTTGAACATCTTAATACTTGCATGCAGACAGATATGAAGCACTTAAATCCCTAAGGTATCATTTTTAGTTTAGTACTGGTAATAAATTAAATGCTTGAATAGACTTATTGGCCTTGCTAGTAATAGCAGATTTTTCAAAAATATTTGAATACCTACTCCTATAAGGTACCTTGGAACTGCCAACTAATACTCCTACTAATGAATGACCCTGTGCCCTGCAACCAAAGAAAAATGCTTTTCAGTAAAATCTAATCTGAGACAAAAAAAATTCATAGATACTTGAAATTTTCTGACCTGCCCACAGTTGCATAATTTCCTCAGCAGCAATGCAAGGTATGCAGCCTACAAAGCCTCTTTTGTAGCCCATCATCTAGCCACAGGCTTTGCTATTTCTTCTACTGTACATTATTATCTCTTCACTAGGATAGCATGGTCTTTGGTCTTTATTGGCTGCAATGTGCAAAAATGAATCACAAAAAGTAGGGTAAAAAGGAAGCTCAAGATTCCAAGCTCCTTCCTCAAGACAGGAAAAACTATATAAAAGGACTACGCCTAGTTATAGTATAATGAAATTCATGAAAGCTTTTACTTTCTCTCTTTTCCTTATCCCCTTCTGGGCTTTTCTGGGCTAGAAGACAGTTTATGTGCTGGAGATCTAACGTGGGTTGACACAAGAGAGAAATATATGTGCACTAGAAAGAGGCTTCATAACTCTTCCTCTAGCTGCAGGACACCTTAACTCTGCTAGAAAAGATGCAGATGAACAATAGCTCCTGGAAATTAATATTGCTTTGCATTTTCTTTGGAGCAGTTATCGTCACCTTGACCTATGTTCATTAAAGATGGGCTCATGAATGCTGGGGGGCTGCTGATCAGCAACTTCTTTCTATGAAGTTATTTAATTGTTAATTATTTCTATAGGAAACAATGGCTCAAAACAAGATTTAAGGGGTAAAGGACATTAAGGCCTGGTTTAGTCTTTCAGTGATCTCACCGTATAAATGCCACAGGATTGAATTTCTTGTCTATGGAAACAGTCAGCTAGAGACACCCAAATTTCCATGATGAAAACACAAAAAAATGTAAGGAAGTAATAAATCTGTTAGAATTGGAAAAACACAAGCAGTTCGAAAATTCAGAATCACATTACTCCAAAAAAAAAATCTGTCCATGTCATGGGGAAAAAAGTGTGAGTAAATGCTGTGTTCTGGAATGCAGGACAGCAAATATTAAACCACAGATACCACACGTCCAAGATCTGTGTTGGTCAGGTCAGTAAAATTATAATTCTTATTTTTATAAGGGAGAACACCTAGATTAGTTTATTTACAGTAAAAAGCAAACAATTATGACAAACAGCATTTATCCATAGGGTCTGCAGCTTTGCATGATCACTACCACAATGCAGAGCAAAGCATGCCTTATGACGGTTTGATACTGACCGTGCTGTTAATTTGGATGTAAATGCAATATATGGCAAGTGTCCATAGATTTGCTCCTACTTTCATTAAGCTGTCTGGAAAAGTGCAGCCTGGTGCTATGCTGGCAGACTCATAGAGTCTCTCCATAGAAGCTCAGAGGCTGGAGCAAGAGGGCTCAGATCTTTCAAGTTAGTCCTGCAGCCTTCTATAGCTTTCTCCTCAATGAGCTAGCTACTCAGTGAGGAGGACTCACTGGACCATCATCTAGATGTGACTGCAAAGAACAGTTAGTTACATCTGTCATGGTTTAACCTCTGTCAGCAGCTAAGCACCACCCAGGCGCTTGCTCGCTCCCCTCATAGTGGGTTGGGGGAGAATCGGAAGGGTAAAAGTGAGAAAACATGTGGGTTGAGATAGACAGATTAATGGGTAAAGCAAAAGCTGCACACGCAAGCAAAGCAAAACAAGGAGTTCATTCACTGCTTCCCAACGGCAGGCAGGTGTTCAGCCATCCCCAGGAAAGCAGGGCTCCATTACATGTAACAGTTCCTTGGGAAGACAAACACCATAATTCCGAACATACCCCCTTTCCTTCCTTCTTCTTTCCCCAGCTTTATGCTGAGCATGCATGACATCATACAGTATGGAATATTCCTTTGGTCAGTTGGGGTCAGCTGTCTCAGCTGTGTCCCCTCCCAACTCCTTGTGCACCCCAGCTTGCTTGACCAGAAAAGGCCTTGACTCCGTGTAAGCACTGCTCAGCAATAACAAAAACATCTCTGTACTATCCATACTGTTTCCAGCACAAAATCTCATTTACAAAGCCTGAAGGTCCAGTCACTTGAAGAAAATAACTTTATCCCAGCCAAAACCAGCACATCTTTGGTATTATTAGTGGTCTGTGTGTTGGAAGACAATTTGGGTGCAATCCTTGGCTTCTTAATGTTGACAGGACTTTATCATAGATGTACCTGTCCATGTAATCGAATACACAGCAGATCAACATGCCTCTTCTGTTTCTTTGCCGGTTGAGACCACAGTCCCCTGGGATGGCAGGGTATGGCAGCTGGCAGAGCCCTTCCACCACAACAAGAAAAAATGGAAATAACCCACAGGCAGTCAGCACTCTGGATTGGTCAGTAGCCGTAAGAATCAATAGTGCTTGTGGTATGTCATTTTTGCTAAAGCTAGCAAACAGCAAAACAGAAACATTTATACTTTTTAAAAATATTCTTTTTGCTAATCTGTATTCCATTTTTCTGGAAACCTGAGTTCAAAACCTATTGCCCTCAGCGCCCTTGCACTGAAACTCAAACGAATATCAAGTATGAACAAAAAATCCAAATGCAAACCAATTAAAGTGCATGATACATATGCGTGCAGAAGTATCCTAGCTCAGCTATAAGCATATCTATTATAATACCAATCAGTGTACAGGTCAGAAGGGAATACAAAAAGTAAGGATGATATTAGTGTTAGATGTTTCAGGAAATCTGTTTTATTCCTTGCACAAGAAAGCATGATTTGTTGTATTGTTTCTTTCAAGGCTTATACTGCTACAAAAATGCATACATCTATCACTGATTATTCTGCTGTAAAGGCAGGAGAAAGAAGAGTAGAACTGGTCAAAACATTTGTTACATTTAAAGGAGAAAAGGGAGAAAAAATGTTGTTTCACACGCTATTATCTAAAGA